ACCCGGGTGGTGGTGTGGGGAGGGGGGAGTGAAGCGGGCTACTAATTGTTCCTTTGCCACCTTGAACATTCAAACATTATTTATCTCCAGGCTTCTTTCTTCACGGCATAAACATATTTTGTTTAAGGGGCATAATGAGAATGCCTGGAACAAGCCCTCTAAAACATTTCTAAGATAAATGCTCCTCATCTGGGCATGTTCTTTCCCTACACCACTAAACAGCTAACGCTGATATAGATGACCCACATCAAAGTTGCATTTTCTTTAATACATATCAAAATCGTATAAGTACATAAGAATTTCTAGACGAGAAAAGACCAAAGTCCATCCAGTTCACCTTCCGCCTTCCCTGCAGTCACTTGACGTCAAGTCCCAAACTATATACTGTATCCAAAGATGTTATTTCCTAAAAGAAATCTATCTAATTTGATTTTGAAAGAATCACCACTTTCTGCTTCCACCACCTCCCTAGGAAGCCTGTTCCATACTTTTTTTTACACGCGCACTGAAATTATGTTTCTGCAGATTTGTTTTGAATTTACCTCCCGTTCAATCACAGGCTGTGTCCTCTGGTTATAGATAACCCGATAGATATGTAAATTTAGATATTTGAAATGCACTCTATACTTTGACGCCCTCACATGTTTCCACTTACGTGGAATTCCACTATCGGAACCAGAAGCCAACGCGAGATTCTGCTTTGATCCCCCAACCGACCATTTCCCTTTCTGTAAAAAAAGGAATGCATACCTGTTTATCCCATTGCATCACTGCATAGAAAACCCAAGGGTCATGTGAAGTCAGACAACCCTCGTCTGGGCTACAGGAAGTCTGCGTACCAAATTTAGGAGATTTTAAAACATTGTGTGTGAGTCACATTCTCAGTGCATACGAGTTGCCAGCCCTGTGTATAAATGACAGGGCTTTCCTCAAAGGCACGGTTGATAAAGATACTGTCCAGCATGCTTTATACCATACCTACCAGTGAAGTCCCACGTTTGGTGTCTGGTCTGTGCTCAGTCACAGTGGTGCGTTACAATTGGTCCCAGCCTGGGTTCTTGCTTCTGGTTGCTCTGCGGATAGCTCCTGCTAGAAAGTGCATCTGCTTAGAGATTAGGTGAGGACAAGGCTGAGCTGGGCTGTTATTCCACCCACACTCACTCAGCCGAATCATACTCACTGTCTAGAAGCGCACGTGAAGAGTTTAGTTGAGATACTGGAGCCAATTCTCGTGAAGCGTTCAATCTCTGACCAGGACTGCTTTTCACCACAACCCAATTTCAGTCAGTTTTGAATCGTGGAGTGCTGTAGCTCAGTGGTTAGAGCACTCGCCTCACAAGCGAAAGACCTGGGTTCTATTCCCGGCACGGCCAAACCTTGGGCAAGTTTCCTTACTCCACACGCCTCTGTTTACCAGCAGTAAGTAGGAACCCGGTTGTTAGTCGTTTGGAGTATCTCTTTTCCGGGAGTAATAATCCCTTCAAAAAAATCAATAATAATTTGGTCACTTCAATCCACGACTGTTTGTGGGACGCTGCTGTGTATAATTGGCTGCCGCGTTTTGCCCACAAATATACAGTCAATTCAATTTACAGTATATTCTGTGAAGCGCTTTGAGACGTCTAAAAGACGTGAAAAGCGCTATATCAACAGCCAGGATTATTTATTTATTTATTTGTTTGTTTGTTTGTTTGTTTATACCAGTCAAATGATGTGACTTACAAGAATAGTGATGTGACACATATATATGTAATAACACAATTAGATTTGATTAATTGAAAGTCAGATAGTTGAATAGTTTGGTTTATGGACTAGAGTTTGGAATTCCCAAACCATTTGCATGTCTCATCTAAGAATATAGTTCATTGAACACCGGAATTGTACGAATAATTCGGTTTAGCGAATAATTTTCCCTGTGACGATTTGTATAAAAAACAATTGATCTGAGTCTGGACGAACACGTGATCCCAATTCACCACCTTCTGCAGTTCAACATGAACATCACTGTTGTCCTCTCCTCCTTCCCCCTCCCCTCCCCTTGCTTCCCCTCCCCTCACCTCGCTCCTCACTGAGGTCCCTGGCGTTTAGTCGCTTGTGAGAGTGAGGACCTTCTGATTGTTGGAGGAAACCGTTTCTGGTTCCAGTGAGGCTGCACAGCTCACGCTCCGGGAGGTGAGGCTCCTCTTGTGTTTACTCCAGTTTTATGACTAGTTCAGTTGGTTGAATCATTTTCACTCTCTAAATGAGTATTCGGTCAACAGAATTTCACTGTTTACATATACAAGTACAATCATCATGCTTTAGAGTGGCTCCTGAAAAAAAAAGATTTAATAAAGTTTTGTTTTAATAACAATAAAATAATAATCTATACATGTGATACAGTAGCTTTCACATCAGGAGGATGTCTCAAAGCGCTTCACAGGATTTACTGTATGATATAGTGGCTGGGTACCTTGTAGGCAATTGCACAGAGCAATGTTCGACAAACAGCCATGATGTGAATGATCAATTTTATTTGGGCGATTGTTGGTCAGGACACCAGGAGAAACTCCCTGCTCTTCTTGAGTAGTGCCATAGGATCTTTAACATCCACCTGAACAGGTGACAGGACCTCATTTAATTTCTCATCCAAGAGGACGACACCTCTAATAATGCAGCGTTGGAGTGTCAGCCTGGACTGGGACTTCACATACCTGACGTGAAGCTTGAACCCATAAACTTCTGACTGGGAGTGCCACCAACTGAACCAGGCTGTCACCCAACCCATGGCTTTGGGGTGTCCTCCTGACATGAAAGGTGCTGTACCAAATGCAAGGATTATTTTGTCATTGTTTTTATAATGCAGACTCATAAGTTTTTGTTACCTTAACCACAGTTTCTTCATATGTGCCAGACTGACACTGACACATAGCTTTGTAAATTTTAATCATGTTTTCCAAGCATTTCATTCATGAAACTTTTCCATACATTAAAATTCTTAGCTTTTCTATTATGTTTTTGCCCCACAAATATTTGTAAAGAGTTTAAAAACAACACCAGCTGGTGGTGATCGGTTAATTGTCTGCATTTTTTTTCTTATTTTTATACAATCTTTGGTTAAGAAAAACCCCGAAAGCGATCCTCTTCTGCCAGCACATCAATAGAACATTACTAACATGTTCTTGTAAGAACGCAGATGCAGATGCTTAAGGAAGTGGAAAGTATGTTTAAGTACTGTTATAGAAAAAAAGGAATCAAATATTAAGAGGGGAGTTTTGAAAGAAACATGAACATGTATTGTAGTTTCAGGCAATAATACTACTTGGATTCCACTTGAAATTTTATCGTTACAAAACTGTAAATGAACCTAAAATGTCTAGTTCTTCCTCCTCTCTTTTCCTAAATCAAGGCATTAGACCCGTGTTCCTGAGTACCGCTTCCCAGGCACTGGCATCCCTCCAGTATCTCGTTCAAGTGTCCATACTTCACATGCGAGGCTAAAGAGTGGGTGTCAGAAAATATTCAACAATTGGAAGAACACAGCTGAAACCGAAGCCGGATTAAAAACCAAGTTACATTTGGAATAGTGCCTTTCACATCGTGAGGATGTCTCAACACGCTTCAAGGATATATTGTAAAGTGCAATGACTGTTTTGTGGGTGAACACTCCAGCCAATTTGCACACAGCAATGTCCTACAAACAGCCAAGGAGTGAATGACCAATTTTATTTTGGGGAATTGTTGGCCCAGGACACTGGGAGAGAAAGAGAAACTCCCTTTTCTTTTCGAATAGTGCCATGGGATCTTTAACATCCGCCTGAACAGGGAGACGGGCCCTCAGTTTAACACCTGATCCGAAGGACGGCACCTCCAACAATGCAGCATTGAATTTGAGTGCCATCTTAGACTGTGCGATTGGAAGCTACAACGTGGGGCATGAACTCACCATTTTTTGACTCAGAAGCGAGCGTGCTACCAACTGAGCCAGGCTGACACATAAGTCAGATACTAACACGTACTCTTTTGCACCAGACATCAGGATAGTTATCAAAGAGTGGAAATTCACGCTGAACATTTCTTTTCCCTACCCCAGGGATACTGATGTCAAAAACCTCAGTTAAGATCAGTTAATTCACCAAGATTGAACATGGGACCTCCCCAATCTGTGGCCCTGAACCACAATGTATTTACCCTCTGTTCCATTGGGGAGTTCCCTTCACCCTATTTTACTTCTCTAGAATGCACATTTGCTTATACAGGTTACCAGAGTTTCAATGCCCCCTTTTCAAAAACACATTGAAGATTTAATCAGAAAACTATAGCTTTCCATTATTGGGGTTTACAAGGCAGTAGATTTTACCTGTCCTGGAAAGATAGTCTGTGCCAGAGTAAATCATCTACACAAAATCCCTCTCAGCCAACATAAAATGGGATAAAATTCAAACACGTATAAAGTTGAGGTGGCCAGGGACTCGGGCATACAGACGACAGATTTAAGCAAATCAGAGGCTAATATTGATAATAATCCTTCTATTTGATATAGCGCATTAGCACATTATTGAGGCGTCTCAAAGTGCTTTACAGGATAAAGTGCCTGACACAGAGGAATTAGTCTAAGAGAAAGAGTCAGACCAACTCTCTGTATAATAGTTTTGTTCCACGGTCCTTTATTAGTTCCACTTCAAATGCACCTGTCGAAGACTACTTTCTTCCTTAACGATCCTTTGTGAAGTTGAACCTGTAACACAGTCCTGCAGCACAAGCATAAAGAGAGTTAAAAAGAACAAAAACAATTTATTTGATTATTGTATCCCATTCTTTGTGTTCAATATTTTTCTCATTCCAAAATGCAGTTCTTCACATTTATCTGTTAAAAAGCACTTATTGGATCATCTGCTGTATTACCTTATGTAACGGCTCAAAGGATTTACTATGAAGTGTAGAGACTGTGTATTTGTAGATGAACGGGGCAGATAATTTGCACACAGCATTGTCCCACAAACAGCCAAGTAAGTGAATGACCGATTTTATCTGGGCGACTGTTTTAAAGGTTTTAATCCACACAACTTGTATCTAAAACAAAGCACAGTAACAATTTTATGGCCATAATCAAATACAATTACCCCTGTTTCACAAAGCGATTTGTCCAACTCACAAGAGGTCTGTAAAATCAGCAGCCAAAACAATGGGAGAAACTTCGGCATTTGTCAACAGGTTCTGCTCTTTAATCGATGCCGTTCTGGTGAGGGGCTGAAAATCGGGATCCAAACCTGGCTTTAACTCTTGAGCGGTTTGTGAGTGAACACTTCCTTCCCCCCTTCCCCCCAGGAGTATGCACAACTGGTGGCACTGAATATTTCAGCGCTCCATTTGAGGTTTTTGATTGTAAACAGGAGTATTTTTGGCAATTAAAAACAAGATATTCTAGATCAGGGGTCTCCAACTTGTCGATCGAAGCAGCCTGTCATCCCTGCACCAGTCCAGGCAAGTCCATGCCAAGTCAACAACTTGTGTCCAGTAGCTATCGAGCCGTGGTACACATGGTGTGGCCATATGTGAAGAACCATTCAATAAAAATTGATTTGGTTGTCTGACCGTAAGAGTTTGGCTCCCAATGCTCTAGATGCATTTTTCTTTAACAAAATTTACAACAGTACCTTTCAGCCCATCATGTACTAGAGACTGTCTCAGCTGAACTGATATCTTGTGCATGAGTACTCAGATGCTGACTCCAAATTAAGGGACAATAAATTTTGAACCAAACCATTGTGTGGAAGACGAGGAGCGAGGCAGTGTTCATAACCTAATACCTGTTCAATTGTTAAACCCAGGTTTGTCTCACAAATTTCAGCCAGTTCATAAATCTATTTTGAATTAAACAGTGGAGTTAACAGAATGGGAATGTATTTGTGGAGTCCTCCAGTGTATTGGTTAGAGCGCTCGCCTCGCGAGCGAGAAGACCTGGATTTGATTCCCAGGTAGGGAGAAACATTTCCTCATTCCACACGCCTCTGTTTACCAGCAGCAAGTAGTTAGTCGATTGGCAGATCACTTTCCGGGGGTAATAATCCCTCTTAAAAAAGTTTTTGGTATCTGACAAAGCTATTCGTATCAAGAAAGCAAGAGAGAGTGAGAAATGTGAATATGCACAAATACGGAATGACTACTCGGCCTAGTTGTTTGCCTCAATTTGATAGTTTTATATTTAATTTTTGGTATCGATGGGTAAGTATTCAATGTTGGGTTAAGAGAGCTCTTTCATTAGCTCAGACATGAATATCTGAGTGCCTATAAGCCGTGTTTTGACATTAGGTTTGCAATCACACAATAATAACAGGGTCACACTGTTAGAAACCAAATATGGTGCTAACGATCACCAAGTCAATGGTGTCCACAGCTAAAACGCCAATGTGTAAATTTGGTATTCCCAAACAACAAAGCTACAACTGCAGGAAGTTTCAAATGCAACAGAAACTGCTGCCACCTACGGCAAAGACAAGTGCACAAAAAGGAGGGGTAAAAGGAGGAAGCCAAGTGTGATCATATCAAGATGTTCCAGCGAATCAATTTCACTCTTCATCAAATTAGCGATTAGGTTTCTACATACGTTAAAGAAACAGACATTTTGGAAATTCTGGGAAATTTCTCCTTTGTCACAGAAATTGACTTTAATGAGAATTCCACTTACTAGATTAACATTAACTTGAAAGATATATTTACATTATTGTTTAAAGATTAATTACCTATGTTTTTGGGAGTCACTATTAATCATTTGGAAACAGACATTCTCAGCAGAGAAGGAGACTATTCGGTGTAGGTGTGGAGGTGTCTGACACCTGTTTTTTTAAATTACCCTGTTTAACTAATTCCACTATCAAGCAAATTCCAACTGGTAGCCAGTCTTTTTTAAAGCAAAGGATGGCTGCTAAATTTTCACCTTGTTATTTAAAATAAGTTAATATAATAATAACAATAATAAAATACGGCAAAAACAAGATAATGTGAGAAGTTCCCAAGGCTTTCTTTTCCCATTTAAGGGTAGCATTTAAATAATTAACAGTAAAAATAATTTAAAGCAAAACACGAGCACGGTTAGCTTCTCCACACAAGTTTACTTCTAATAATAATACTTAAATTTGATACAGTCAGGAGGACATCCCAAAGCACTGCACAGGATATATCGTAAAGTAACGTGTCTTTTGTGGGCGAACCTGACAGCCAATTTGTGCACATATCCCATACTCTGCCACGGAGCAAATGGCCAGGACATCAGGAGAAACTGCTCTCTTTCCGAACGGTGTCACGGGATCTTTAAAATCCACCCTAACAAGCAGATCCACTGATGCAGTGTCACCGCGATGGCAAATATTGTAGTTGACAGAATACTATTAATGTAGAGAACCCCCTCATAGCACCCACAACATAACATAACAACATAACAGCCCCCCTACCCCGCCACCCACCCCGCCCACACAGCCCCGGTCCCCCCCTCCACTCCACCATGTACAGTTTACAAAGAAAGTAAATCCATTTTCTCCTACCTATATCGAGAAACTACGTGTTTCCAGCGGTTGCCAGTGACCAGATATAGAGCCAGAGAACCATTGTGTTGATGTTTGTAGTGAGTCCATCAGTGAACAGCTCTCATTGTTCGCCAGGGTGTCAAATCCTTCCCAGTCGTTGATACTGTAGAAAATAATAATAATCCTTACATTTGGTATCGCGCCATTCATGTGGAGAGTGCTTCACATGATATGCTGTAAAGTCTAGTGACCGTGCATTCAGTGATGCCAAATTAAGTGGCTCTGAATCGTCCTGTAACATACCCTTCAATTCAGACCAATCTAATTGATTTAATCAGAACCTGTATTTAGTTCAACAAAAATAAATGCCAAACCCATCTTATTGTACTGTGTTGAGAGGCAATGACCAATTGCAGACTGTGAACTGGACCCTTCTACCCTCACTCATGTTGTCCCCTTTCATCAAGAACGCCTTTCAGCATTGTCTCCCATCACAGCATCGAACTGTTTGTAAAAGTGTCCAGTGTCTTGTCCTCCACTACCCTTCTTGGCAACCAGTTCACCAGTCGTTAATAACAACAACAACGACAAATTGCATTAATGTAGCATTTTTCATGTCGGGTGGACGTCCCAAGGTGTTGGACAGTCAAGGGTTTGCACTCGAACTGGGGGTTAGAATCAAAAAGGGTGGAGGGCAAGGCAGGGTGGGGGTGGGACGATGCCTGATAGCACAGTCAAAGAGGAAGGTCTTGAGATGGGCTTGAAAGGAGGCAAGGGAGGTGGATCACTTTCTTGGGGTAACAATCCCTCCAAATTTTTTTTTGAAATTTATAATTTGGTCACTGGATCCACGATAGCTTGTGGGAGATTGTTGTGTGTACTTGGCTGCCATAATCAACACACCCTAAATTCATTTTACAGTATATTCCGCGACCAACAATAGTTCCTATTGCCGCTAGTAGGAGGCGTGTGGAGTAAGGAAACTTGAGGACGTGACATGTCCAACCAAATCAATGATGGTTGAAGCAGAAGCTATTATAGCTTTTTTAAAAAAAATTAAAGGGTAAGTAAAAGACAAGAGAATAGGATTAAACAGATAGCTCTGCCAGCAAGCCACACGGCCAGATTGGATGAATGACTTCCTACTATGCTGAAAAGTTCTATTATTCTATCAAAGTTGAATTTCATCGACGGATGTCAGTATCATCAATTTGTTAGGAAATCAAAGCCAATGGGTTATGCATAATAGTTACTTCACAGCAGAGTTAGCGGTTTGCAACAACCCAAATAATACGGGTTCAAAATGCCAGCATTCGGGTTTCAGACGAAATAATCCATGAATGACCTTTTCCCTCGGTGAGTCCATCATCAACAACAACAACAAAATTACATTTATAGAGTGCCTTTCACGTCGGGAGGACGTCCCAACGTGCTGAACAGTCAGGTGTCGGGGCCCAAGCATGGGGGAGGGGTGGGGTAGGGGTGAGGGAAGGCAGAGAGGTGGGAGGGAGACCAAAGGCACGGTCGAAGAGAAGCGTCTTGATACCGGCCTTGAAGGAGCCAAGGGAGGAAGCGAGGTCAAGGGACCGTGGGATGGAGTTCCAGAGTGTGGGGGCAGAGAGGGTGAAAGCCCGGCCACCGATGGTAGAGCAGGTCGGGCGGGAGACATGGAGCAGGCCGGAGCCCGATGAACGGAGGTTACATGAAGTTACATCATCAGTTACATGAAGACCTTATCATGAGATTGAGGCTGGACCCAGATGAGCATGGAAATTGTTTTGTGGAGAATAATAGGAATCTTTCCCAGAAATCCATGCAAGAGAAATCAGTGAGAGATTTAAGAGAGAACTGGATAGGTAATTCGGGTGTAAATTAATAAGGGATTTTATTTGTTTGGGTCGGCCGGGTGTCTGGCACGTGTGGAAACCCATCACCAGGCTTCAGAGAGTATCCAAACCAAATAGAGTTCCATGCATCCCACTCACACATGGAAATTCCAGTTAATAAGAGACATGGTAAGAAGATGGTCCTCGGGAAAGTTTGTAGTATTTAGGCCAAGGAATGGTCTGTGCCTGAAAGGGCTGAATGGGCTAAATGGCTTTCCCCTATATCTGATTTGGGAGGTTAGTACTATGTCTCTTCTACATGTGAGTACAGTGAATCTGATAATCCTCCAATTTCAATTATTCTGCAGGATGGGTGGGGGCGGGGGCGGGGGGAAGGCAGGTGGGGGCGATGGGGCTGTCCTCCTGCCCATTATGGATAGTTGTTGATATTCCATGTCTGGATTTCAGTTGAATCATTAAAGATTAATTTGCTTTAATATGCAAATTTTGGAGAAATGTCATTCAATAACATTTTCTGAAAACAATCATTTTCTGCACCAAGCTCAAGATCAGGACTGATTTGGGTGATTCAGTTTTTAACAAGCCAGTTGTTAGTTAAAAGACAAAAAAAAAAANGTTTTGTAAAAAAAATTCAGCTGCTGCATATTAATTCTGTGTGTCACATATTTTGGCAAAGACAAAGTACTTGTACAGTGGTTCATTACAAGAGTTTACTTTGTGGGCAGAGATGAGATGTGGTTGATTACAGAAAGCTGTGGTCAGTTAGTTACATGGAACTCACAACAAAAGGGATGTACAAGCTCATCATATCCCCACATTCACTCACTACGTCAGTAAAGAAAACGCATATTTTTACCCACCCGATAAGAGAAAAACCCAGCCCGTTCCAATCTGCACCACTTTCTGCTGCTTCCCTGTGATGCTGTATATGACTCAGCGAATCACCTGTATCTTGTTCGACAATGGCACATCATCAGTTGCAGGCGTGTAGATACCTCCAAGTTGGAAGTCCCGATAAAGTTTCAGTCCATACTTGGTGGAACAGTAAATGGGTCTTTCCTCCAGATGACACCATGGGCAGAAGAAGGGAGGGTCGTTCCCCCACCTACACGTTCTTTACTCTCCATTGAACACAGACTCATTTTACAAACGTTGCTTTTCCTAGATGTTAGTCATTGCTGGCGTGGGGCATGCCTGCAATTGTTATACATTCAATGGATTGCTTTCAAAGAATTTTTCTGAAACCTGAGAGGGATTTCACCCATGTGCTGCAGTAGTATCTTTTTGGTGCTTTAACTACATGGCATGCACACAGCTACGTTACTCAATTGATTTACCGAAGACATTTCCAAAATTGTTGAGCTTCTTATGTTTAGTTTTTTTACCTTTGAAGAAAAGAAATGAATGAACTCTGTTTTAACTGTGGATTTTCATCCCAGTGTTGAATTGGCCTTGTCTGCACACTAACTGATCACAGAAGAAGACGTCTCCAGGCTTCTATCAAAGCTGGGATTGATTCAACTATTGATGGTGGGACAAGAGAGCTCTGAACTTACTCCACCTCAAATGGCTTCCGCCTTTTCTATGTACAAAGCCTTTTTGGCACTATCTCCTCTGACCACATAGTGAGTAGTTGGAAGCTGTAGGCATGCATTAATGTCACCAAACCCCATAACATACCACACTGGATAACCACCACATTTCTCCAAATGTCAGCTTTATAATTGTAATGAAAGGTACTTTAAAGATACTTTAACAGTATTGAGTTTAACCAAACTTTAATAAATCATGCAATCTTATATTCTAACAACAAATGAGCCTCCTTAATAATAACAATAATAATCCTTGCATTTGATATAGCGCTTTTCAATCTTCTAGATGTCTCAAAGTTCTTCACAGAATATAAGTGAATTGATTTGTGGGCAAAACACAGCAGCCAATTGCGCACAGCAGTGCCCCACAAACATTTGTGAATTAAGTGACCAAATTATTATTGTTTTTTATTGAGGGATTATTATCCCCGGAAAAGTGATGCACCAATCGACTAACAAGCGGGTTCCTTCTTACTGCTGGGTAAACAGAGGCGTGTGTTGAGTAAGGAAACTTGCCTACGTTTGCCTGACCCGCCCGGGAATCGAACCCAGATTCTCTCTCTTGCGAGACGAGCGCACTAACCTCTACTCTCTACAGGACTCCACAAGGCGAACTCAAGTGTTTCGCACGAGGGAGGGAGGGAGGAAGGAATGAGAGAGAGAGAGAGGGACAGAGGGAGGGAGGAATATGAAAGAGAGAGAGAGAGAATGAGAGAAGCACCTCAGTCAATAGACTAACTGGCCAAGTCAAAATGATTCCCAAACATAATGAGCTCCAAGTAGAGTATCTATCCCTCAGTTGACAACACCATTGTGAAACCCGAATGAACCTCACGATCAGTTGTGTTTTTTTTATTTCAAGTCTTCTTTAAACCTTTTAACTTTACTTCTTGTTTTAACCTTTTCTTACAACTGCGTGTATCAGCCAACAGTTCACAATACATACTTTTACCTCAAATCTCCCCAAGTGGCCCTAACCTCTCTCCACAGAGTGCAGAAAGGGCTTCGCACATGGAAAAGGAGCTAAACACATACTAAGTTAATTCATATTTTAGAAAACCTCTCCTTTTTTCCCCTCTCGCTGCACTAATTCTTATTTCACACTACCTCACAGCTTGAAGGTCAGACCATCGCGCTGTGAGTTCAAAATAGAAGTTGTCATGTTAAGCTTGCAACCCCAAGATTGTTGCGTTGATTTGAACGTCAGCAAATAGCATGTTCCAGTCATCTATGGATGACAGTTGCAATGATGTATATTGTGGGTTGAGTTGTGGCTTTACAGATGTCCAGATTCCCAATTCTCCATGATGCCCGTTCTCTGTGCTGAATCTAAACCTTCTCCCATTTTGTTACGCTCAGTCTTCTTCTCTTATCTAATAATAATGATAATCCTTGAATTTGATATAGCGCCTTACCAGGTCTTCAAGATGTACCAACGCGCTTCACAGTATATACTGTCAAGTGTAGTAACTATATAGTTTGTGGGCGAAACGTGGCAGCCAATTGCGCCCAGTGACGTCCCACAAACAATCTTGGATTGAGTGACTAAATTATTTTTAAAAAATAATTAAAGGGATTATTATCCCCAGAAAAGCAATCTGCTAATTGAGTAAGAACCAAATTCCCACTTACGGCTTGGTAAACAGAGGCGTGTGGCATCCAGAAACTAGCCCAGTGTTTGGAATCGAACCAAGGTCTTTTGCGCTCTAACCAAGTGCTCTAAACACTAATCTAATCCACATACAGGTTATGGCATGCTCCTCCTGGGCACAGGCTATCCCACGTAAGCATATTTTCTGTGAAGGAAAGAAACTAGGCAAAAAGAATTGTGCGCAATTGGCCTCCACGTTTCGCCCACAAAATATACAGTCAATTCACTTTATAGTATATTCTGTGAAGCGCTTTGAGACGTCTCAACAATATGATAAGGCGCTATATCAAACGCAAAGACTATTATTATTATTATTAATTTTAAGTCAAATTTCATACATGCAAAAAGCCAAAAGATCAGATTGAATGTAAATACACATCATCTGCCCCTAATAGTGCAACTAATGTTTATTATGATAGGCAATATTTGCACAAGATTAACAAAAGATGGGAGGATATAAACATGCCAAATTTTAAACACCCCCACTTGTACCCAAAAGCAAATTTACTGACAAGTGGAGGCTTCTAAGAAAGGGATTTGAATAAGGAACACCCTGAGGTTCATCAGATCTCACCCGTGATCTTCCCATAGTAGCATCAAGCCGTTTCTTCCAGTATTTTTTCCTCTACTACCTTTCCTGGTTGGTTACCTGTTCCAGGTACGAATATTTAGTCGACTTAACATTATTACAAATTCCTATTAATTTAAACCGGAAAAGTGGAAACTCAAGCATTTCTCAGATTGATTCACGCTTTAATAGAACTGTGCAATAACACTACCCCTGTGCTTCAAGCCACCAAACAGCCTGCCTTTTAAGCGGACTTCAAAAATGCTAGTGTGTGTGCTGCGAAATGTCCCAAATCAGGTATTTGTTTTTTTTCTAGCCAGATTCAACGCGATGTGGGGTGAAACCGGTGTGAAACAAAGTTCTCACTCCACATCGCAGTACTGTAACGCTGGGAGCGAAGCAGCTCCCAGGAATATCAGTGGGACCACTCATCTGATAGAGCTTTATTCAATTTGGGAACTCTGCAGATTTCCATAGGGTTTGCTATGTTATTATATGTTATTTGCTATGTTAATATCTGTTATTATTACACAGCGGTGGTCAACTTGATGTGATTTCCACAACAGTAGTAAAGGTTGAGTACAACACTGACATAACTCCTATTTGAGTCAAATACAAGTCCCTGGACTGCCTCCAGAAGCTGGTTTAGGAATCGCATCAATCCACACTGCCTGTAGTGTAATGCATTCAGCTTTTAAAACTAAGTGAATAATAATAATTGTGTCTGATATAGCCACTTAACATATCGTTCAGATGTCTCAATGCCCTTCATAGAATATATCGTGAAGTGGATTGATTGTACACTTTGAGGCTGAAACGCGGCGGCCAATTCAATTGCGCACAGCAGTGTCCCACAAACAGTCATGGAGGGATTATTACTCCCAGAAAGCAATCTGCCAATCGACTAACTTACTAATAGGTAAACGGAGGCGTGTGGAGTAAGGAAACTTGCCTCAGGTTTCACTCCGCCCAGGAATTGAGCCAGAGTCTTCTCACTTGCAAGGCAAGCACACTAACCACTACCCTCCAGGACTTGGTAAATCCATTTCTTACAATTGGGCTCTTTCTTACGTCTCAAAGCGCTTCACAATAAACACCGTAAAGTGTATTTTGTGGCTAAACGGGGCAGCCAACCGCAACAATCCATGTATGCACTATTTGGCTAAATTGCAGAGATTCAATAAAAGCAACAACAACTTGCATATTTATACAGCGCCCTTCACACAGACTAGCGTCCCAGAACGCTTGATTCCTTACAATATCCCAAGATTCTCGTGAGTAACGTTTAAAATAAAGCAAAATAAAAACCAGAAAAAAATTGGAGAAATAAAATAATTGGGGAAGAGATTTTTTTTTAAAAAAATGTACTTTTATAATAACAACAACAACAACAACTTGGATTTATATAGCGCCCTCCACGGCGGACGGCGTCTCAGAGCGCTTTCACAGTAACGGATCCCGGGGCCAAGCCGGGTGGAGGGGGAGGGGGGGAAAGGTGACCAAAGGCGCGGTCGAAAAGAAAGGTCTTCAGCAGAGACCTGAAAATGGGAAGGGAGGGGCCGAGGGGAAGGGAGTGAGGAAGGCAGTTCCAGAGCCTCGGGGCATAGTGGCTGAAGGCACGGCCGCCGAGGGGGGAGCGGAGGACTCGGGGACGAGGAGGAGGCCAGACCCGGAGGAACGAAGCCAACGGGTACTGTTGTGAGGAGAGAGGAGGTCAGAGAGGTCGGGGGGTGCAGAGGAGTGGAGGGATTTGAAGACAAGGGCGAGGATCTTGAAGTCGATTTCTAATAGTCTTTTAATAGTCTTCTTGTCAAAAATAACATTTCATCATCTGCTGGTTTTCACCTGCATTATGTTTTCGGAAAGAGTACGATTCTTTTAAATTGAAGTTAGTCTAGTTTAAAAAATTAGTCAACTAGTTTGAAATATAATTTAAAAACTAACGTGCTGTGCTATCTACTCGGAGTAGAGCATACTCTATATTTTTTTTACTCTTTCCAATGTCAAATAAACCAATATCAAGAATCAAAACCCAGGGAGTATTCCTACGAAACGTTTAACGAAATAAAACTGAAAACAAAGATGTCAACTGTAAAATAAATAATAATAATCCTTGCATTTGATACAGCGCCTTATCACGTCTTCGAGACGTCTCAAAGCGCTTCACAGGATGCAGTGTGACGTGAAGTGACTGTGTATTTTATGGACAAACTGCATCATGATACAAAGGGTGAGAGAGAAGTTCTGTAAAAGACCGCACGGTGTTAGGTAACCACAGTCGCACAGATGCTAAATCATCTGTATCTCATGGCAATGTCACCAATCCATTTTGGCTGAAATTAAATACTGCAGTGAGCCAAGGCTGGAAAAACAGGGCTTCAGCGAGGGATGGAGTCCCAACAAATTAACTTTAACCCCCGCCAAAAAAAAACCTTTGAAGAAAGTGTGTGAATTGTACCTGTTGTTTCAAAGTTGCATTGAAACGACTGCAAACACAACATGGGGGGAAAGGGGTTAAAGGAAAACTTGGTGGGTTTAACACTATGGCAGAGGTGATGTATACAAATGACAAACAGTGGTTACTTTTCTATCATTGGTCTCCATCGAGTTCATTCACGATTCAGTGCATCTGCACGAGATCGTTAAACACTGCCACAGATATCAGGCTTCAATATGAATCACAAGCAAATTATTTCATGAATTGCATAACAATTTACAAACTCTAATGGCCCCCAACAATTAGTCAAAGAGTTTTCTCTTTTCGAACCGGCGCAGCTGAAATATTGTCAATATTTCGTCCTTCAAAAAAAACCTTTTTCAGCATCCTTTCAAAGTCAGGTTAAAATGCACCTTTCAATCGTTCAGGTCTTGGCCTCTCCCTTTCACTGTGACAACTACTTTCTGCACTAGCATAAGATAGGAATAAAAAAAAATCCTGCACATGACACACATACAGAATTACTCATTTCACAAGTTCAGATATGACTGAAATTTGACTGATTGGACAGGTAATGCGATATGGAAAATCAAAATGAAAACACTGTTGTCATTTTCCAGCTAGGAGTGAGGTGATGATGGTTCTCAAGCTGTATCGTGCTGGTCTACAGTGGGAATTTACCACTTTCACTTGTTTCCCTAACCCCAATATGGAGATTGCCTTAGTGCTGGTTTGTGCTTCCTATCCTCCACCCCCCTACACAAACACACTCACACACGCGCATGTATGTACGTACACCTTGCCACTGGAAAAGAAAAGGATTACTCATTGAGTGTTTCAGAAACATTTCCAAAATGTTAAATGGGAGGGCCTTACCTTTCCCAACAAGAATATATATATGCCATTCCATCTGTAGTAGGTACTATTCTCAATTCAATCAAGTCTTCTTTACGAAGAACTCATAACCACTGCCTGTGAGTTTAACAGCCCAGCACAGACACAATGAACAGGATCATCTTTTACAGCTTCATCCTCGCTGCTTTCATTGCTGTTCTTCATGCAGCTCCCAGACGTGATCATGTGGTTCTGAAAGAGATGATGAAGGATGTCCGAAATTTGAAAAAAATGTTTGGGGTAAGTTTCTGCAATGAGACATCATCGCGTTGGATTTTCTTTTTTTTTGTCGGTAGTTTTCGTTTCAATATAGAATGAAACTTAGAGTCTGACTTTACCTCCTTATTTTCTCAGCAATCTGGCGTTACAGTTCGCACTACAGAAAGCAAATTGGTAAGTACACTTTGCTTGGTTTTGTGTTGTAGTAACAGACATCAGCACATCTCTAGTCAATGCTGCTTTGCTTAGGAGCGAGGACTGACCACGGCCGAATATACCACCAATAGTCAGGTCTTATCTGCAGTTCCTGATAGCTTGATGGCTAATGCTAATCCATATTTGGACATATATTTCATAACTGGGGCTGGAGAAGCCGCACAATGTGAAAAGCCGCTCTCAGAGATCTCCACTTTCTAAACGCTCAGAAGCGAAAGACTAAAAAAAAAATCAACATTGACATTTTGAAAGTGGGTGAGTCAGAATGTTGCATTGTATTCGATCCATTCCCGTCTGTCACACGCACTGCACTCCAGAGCTGCTAAGGGTTGGATCACTTTTAAGGCAACTTAAGGAGAGAAGCAAAATAGATATAGAAAGGCAGAAAATGGACATCAAACTGAGCTGAGGGGTTTGAAAGTTTGCATACTTTGTGATATTACCTAATCATTCTGCCGGTGAATCACCCTTGTTTTTTCTGACGCAAGTCGTAGTAATTTGTGTTGTTTGGTGGCAAGAGTTCAGTGGTTCAGAGTCGGGGGGGAGGTTAATGTTAGAAAGTTTTCTTAGCTTGCTTTTGGCAGGTATGTTTATGTATTTCAGTGAATACTTCCTAATTGCAACATCTCACTCAAGTAAACGGACTGCAGGTGGCAATCCCAGTGGCAAAGCACTTTTCTCACATCTTATTATGTTGTAACTATTCTAAATAGTACTGTGAGATTTGGACACACACATCCATTGTAGGTGGAAGCACATCTTCCGGTTTAAAATTATTTAATTCATAGAAAGATGTAAAGGTTGACGGGCAATTCATTGACATAAATTTTCACTAAGTAATTTCTCTATTCAAATAATGCTGAATTAAAAAATATTCACTATCTTTAAATTTGTATTTCTGTTTATCAGTTGAATGCAATCACAGGAAGGAAGAAGGTGTTTCCGGTGTGCTTGTTAAAAGGTTCAAAGATGCATCTAGTTGCACTTAGAATACTTAAAAGATCACAGAATATTTAAATGATCGCTTGTATTTATCTACTTGAATAATATCCCTTTCAGAAAATAGCAATCTTTTAAGCTAACTGCAATAGAAATTCAAGAGCTGCTTTTAGGAGCTAGTCCTGAATCTCAATAAGCTACAACTTATTTAGCATTGGAAAGAGTAAGAAATATAATCTATATAGAGTTGCTACCATAGCATGATGTTATTGAAACTTCAGTTTTTAAATTATATTTCAAAAGGGTCGACTAAATTTTTGATCTAGGCTGAAGACAATTTAAAAGATTATTATTATTATTACCTTACAAGATCCTTCAATCTTCCCTGAAATTCAATTTATTTGCTAGTTTAATTTGGTATGATCTTCTTTTAGTCTATTTCACAACACAAAGTTAGTGGAGAACGTTTAATCTAGGAGTCTTATTTCATGTGTTGTAGTCAAGCATAAGTAATCTTGTAAATTTTGCTACCACAATAAGAGAAAAGATTAAATTGAAATGCTTAATTTGCTTAAATAACAAAATTAATGGTTCATACTGTCATCCCAAACCTTAATGATTGTTAGATAGTATTATTTTTTTTTTGCACATTTTCCTCCTCCTTTACGTTTGCAAATTGCAAATTATAGTTTGACATTGTGTCTCTGTAGTGCAGCCCAACCAACACAATGCTGCTCTACACAGTCTGTGTTTGTTGTGGGCGTTAAAAAGCAACAGTGAGAACCAACTTGTTTGTGAGTAATCAGTGAAAGGCAGATGGAGCTTCCTCCAAATCAAATAGCTCGGTCTTAATTCATTGAGAATACCAGTCAACCCTTTCTCTAATACCCTTTGGAAGAGATACTCATATCGCAACTTGTTAAGTCTGGGGCCATGAAGGTGAATTTTTTATTATTGAGTCTGACAGGAATGTGGTTCAGTATAACTTAATACTATATCGACCTGTCAGCTCCCTCCACTCAACAGGCTCCGGCCTGATCCACATCCCTCGCCCCCGTGGCTTTCAGCCTCTCCACCCTCACCCTTTGGAAGTCCATCCAACATCCCTTCGCCTCGTTCCCTACCTCGCCTCCTTCACGGCATGTCTCAAGACCTTCTTCTTCAACCGCGCATTCGGTCACCATCCTAACCCTCCCCTCCCCTCCCTCTACCCCTTCTGATCCCAACCCCCAGCTCTGGTTCAGATCCCTGACTGTCAAATGCCTTGGGAACGTCCTCCCGATGTGAAAGGTGCGGCGCAAGTGTAATTTGTTGTTGTTGTACTAAAGACTCTTATTGGCTTTTCACAAACTACAGAACATACTGAACAATTGACAACCGGTGGTATTATGTAAATAAATCCGGAAACTTTTTTTTGTCAGGGGATCCCCCACTTCCTATCTATCAGGGGCTTTTTCCTTTCTGTAGCAGGTTGTGGGGCCACAAACAAGGCACCAGAAAACATGAGAGCAGTTCTGTCTGCGTGACATGACATTGTCAGGAAGATAACTATAGTCCTCGATGCGCTTAGCGCTTAGTCAGAAGTTCCTGCACAGTCAGCAGACTGAACAAACCACCGTAAGACAGGAAGTTCACTGAAGTTGGTCAGCGATAGTTTGGTGTTACTCTAAATCTCATAACTAATGGAAAAGAGGCAAGCTGCCTTTGTGTTAGAGCACGGTTTCTTCTCTGTCAATCGGAAGTTTCTGCTCGAGTTGCTGATGACTCGGTGGATTTTATTCAACACACCAATATGACACACCGTTTTGTCATTGAACTCCCACTGCCTGAACCCAAGTGAAAGTCACACATACTCGCCCGTCCTGTATGTATCTCAGCCACTGCCCTGCTTTCCTAATAGACTCCTATATGGCATGGGGAACTTAATGGCCATCAGCTATGCATCTTAATCTATTTTCCCCTCTTAAAGCTATTGCAGATTAAAGTGTTCACTAATATTAATTCTTAGCCATCTTAACTATCTCAGTTTTACAACAAATGGAAATGATTGCACGTTACTTTTTCAGGTAACCTGAACCACTGGGCTTTTTTTTTAGATCCAACGAGGAATTAGATCAATGTATTGTTGGGAAAGGGTTCAAAGTTTTAGGAAACAAATTGAGATGATGGAATACTCGTAGCATTAATGCAGAAAATTGCCTCAGGAGATTTAGTGGGCAGGGCTCTAAGAATGAATGGAAAGGGGACTGATAACATACTGGACAGATCCTCACTATACAGACCAGGATCTCGCTGGTTTAAATCCCAGTCTGTACTGAGTTTGAGTTTCTCTTTTAATGTTTTATGTTCTTATAAACAGCGTCTTGGGACGTCCTCCTGACGTGAAAGGTGCTCAATAAATGGAATCTTGTTGTTGTTGTTGTTTTCTTGTACATTTCTAAGCGTAAGCTGATTTCAAAGGGTATATGTTACACTTGTATTTTGAAACACATAGCACATTTAGTATTTGAAAAATGCTGAGCAGTCTTGTTTGCTTTTGTCTCCTCTTTAGGATAACCTTTCCTGTTACATGGCCGAACTAAAAGGCCTCAAGAAATCCCGGATGCAAATTAATACCGTAGAAAAACTGAACAGAAAAGCAAAACAGCTGAACCTTTTAAATGTAAGTTTCAAAATACTTTTCGAAGTGGGGAAACTCATATGAATTTAAAGGCAAAGGAGCTTTGTGATACACAGGGTTGTTTATTACAACGAGGGATCTTTGTTCCCTCGTAAAACACCCTTTGGAGTAGTCTGATCTTGGAAGTTAAAATTTGCTTTAATACACGGCTGCCTTTTTGTTACATTCCCACAGCTCCGGTTTAGATCACTAGACTGTTGTTGAATAATAATAATCATCCTTGCATTCAGTATAGCGGCTTTCACGTCGGGAAGACAAATATACTAAAGCACCTCAAAGGATTTGCTGTGAAGTGGAGTGACTGTGTTTTTGTGGGCAAACAAATACACAATGATTTGAACAAAACAAAATGATTCGTATCACCATTCTGCATTGAAGATATATTTACATTTGAACAAAAGGAGTAAATCTTGGTTTATTCCACAGATCGACTGCCCCAACAGTGAAAATTACATGAAGAACAGCCTCGAACAGTTCCTGAATCAATTTTATGTACATCTGCAAAAGAAATTCCATGCAGCTGTCAAGGTAAGAGAAACAATATATATTTTGAGCCCCACTTTGTCATATGGGTAAATTCAGGGAAATAATACCAGTAAAAATATTTTAAAAATTCCTAAATGTATGAAATACACAGGCCAATCCCTATATCTAAAGAAATCATAATTCCCTCGAAAAATCAGGCTGGAGTTTCATTCGGCTCCAATAAAGTGACAGAGCCCAGTCTTACTCTACGTGTCAAGCGTTGGTCCACTAACTGCCTATTAAGGATGGAAATTAATCTCCTCCTACTACACACCCAACATCTGTGCTGACATTCCATTTCAATCCCTGCCGTGAAGTGTACTGATGAGGAGTTAACCTATCCCGGAAAGGGATTTATCGTTGGAGGCTCTCTGGGTGAGATACTGAGCTCAGATATTGCTCCATGTACAGTACTGGAGTGGATCCCAGTTGCAATGATGCTTCATGAACGGCGACAACTGGATTTCAAGCGCGACTTGCAATGGATTTCATTGGCACAATATCAGGATTTGGGATTTTTAGATCAGAGAAAGTCAGGATCCACAACCCAATTATGTTATATGCAAACCCGTGTTATAAAGAAGCCCTC